GTCGAGGCTGCGGTGATCCCGGGCCACCCGGCCGGGTAAGCCCCGCTGCAGCCCCCTCTTCCTTGTGCCCCCCTCCACCTGATAGGTGTGGTGGTCCGGGAGGCCGAGGACTTTTCTCTCTAAGGGGAATCGAGCCCACTGCTTCGGGCGAGGATGAAAGGGCCAGAGCGCTTGGATTTATTAGGGCCCTTGATTTTGCAGGGGCTAGAATCCCGGGAGCACTGAGATTTTGACGGGAGCGATTCCCTTCTGATGTGTGTGGTAGAGATAGATGTGGCTCCAGGGAATTCTAGGGTTTTTCTCGGAGAAGGGTCCCAGTTTATATGGGGGCAGGGCTTTGGGTTCTCCTAGGACGATAGATGGGTGGGGCCCTCGAACTGGGATCGGGCTCCCCAAGTTTCTTGGGTGCTCAAGGAGGAAGAGTGGGGGAGGTGACGAAGGAAATTTATGAGGGACTTAAGATGTCTTGGTGTTCTAGGGCTTGGGGGCGCCTGGATTAATTAAAAGGGACACTCGAATCTTCCTAATGAGGAAGACGTGGACTTTCGGGTCGATGGCGGAAGGGCTTGCGGGGAATGGTGCCGGTGGGGTGATCCTCAGGTTTCATAAGGGTTGGAGATGCTGTAGTACCCTAGAATTAAAGGAGTTCAGGCTTGAATGAGGTACCAGTGATTTCGCGGCAAGAGACCCAGAATTTCCTATAGATTTGGGGGTTGTAGCCACCCTTCCTGTGTACGGTGACGAGATCCAAGGAAACAGTCTGCCCAGCACCCCCACCCCCTGCCCGGAGCCCAGCGCTCCGTTACAAAGGCCCCGGGCTGCGCTCCCGCCACGGTCTCTGCGAATACGTTTAGTAACCCGAGCCGCACCGGGGGCGGGGCCGGGAACGGGTTAACCCGGAGAAAAGGCGGGAGGGATGACGGCAAGATCGGGGGTCCCGGAGGTTCCCACCCGGCGGCTTCCTTCCCCACTGGGCCCCTGCCGTCTTGGGAAGAGTCCACGCGCCCGATGTCCCCTTGGTAGCACCCCCCACTGCCCTTCTCTCAGGGCCTGCGCGCTCTCCCTCTCCCTCGTCCCCCTTAGCCTGGCAATAATGGATTTGTCTGGGGGGCCCCTTGGTTTCGACGCACTTGCGTCTGAGCTGAGGGCTCCACTACCCAGAATCTGAGACCCCCTGGGCGCAGAGATTTCTCCAAGAACAACTCTTTCCTCCTGGTCAGACGGGAAAGCGAGGCTCAAAGACCAGGAGACGCTGGCTCCGGGACACACGAGCTTGCAAGGGCAGGAATGGGCTAAAACTCAGCCTCGGGATTCCCAGTCCTGGGCTGTGGCTCCTTCTATATCCCCCTCCACCTCCGAACCCTGCTGGACGCACAGTCAAAGGACTTTACTTCCCAGCTGAGGCCTGTGGAAGTAGCGCCACCTACCGCCCATGCGCGAGATGACATCTAGTCCAGGACAGGGATGTGCCCGGAGGGCAGGGTCCTAAATTCCCAGACAGTCTGGGTTGGAAAATGCGCTTAGAAATCCCCTTTGAGTTCGTTTAATCGCTTAGAAAATACTTTAAAGTATCTTTTCCAAGAATACTTTACCTCCAAAAACTTCAGAAGACAAGTAAAAATGAGGTTGCTGTGACCTTCATCCCTAGAGAGACTAAGCTAATTTGCCTCCTATTGTATAGATAGGGAAACAGGCATCCAGCGCAGTGCCTCAAATGGGCCACATATCTATTTCCAGCACCCTCACGCCTTATCTTGGTCCCCCCCATCCTCATTGCCCTCCTTTGGGGAGTTCTAGAACCCTAGAGACCTGAGTGACTCCCACCCCTCTGTTATAGTGTTGTTGCTTGTCGCTGCTGCCCAGCCCGGTCACTCAGGAGGAGCCGTTGCTTCAGAGGTGGGTTCTCCTAGGTGGGGTACAGGTAGGGGTGACATGGAGTAGGAACAGAGGGGCTGTGGGCTCCCTTCCCCACCCCTCATCCCAGTTGGAGATCTGGATGCACTTGATGGAAAGAGGGACTTGGTCCCCTCCTGCTACACTTAGTCCCTGGCTGTCTCCGAAGCCTCCTGCAGGGTCCAGAGCTGCCCACCCGAAAAGTGTGCAGGCCCTCAGCGGTGCCTGGCACCAGGGCCCCCTGCACTGCTCAGCCCCAGCCCCAGCCCCAGCCCCAGCGTGAGGAAGAAACAGGTGTCCCTGAACTGGCAGCCACTGACGTGAGTGTGCACTCCCTCCCCTACCAAATGCTCAGCAGCTCCCAGCTCCTCCACCACTTCTGGCACATCTTCCACTCTACTCCCTGGGTCTCCTCCTCTCAGTTGTTCCCTCTCCCTCCTTCCCTCCTTCCCTCCCTCCTCTATCAACTTGTATGTTTCTATTTCTCCTTTTCCTCCCTATTGCAGTCTCTGAGCCTTTCAGTCTCTATCTCTCTGTCTGTCCCACTCTCTGTATTTGTTCTTTCCATCTCTGTCTCCTTCTGTTTCTCTCATTGTCACCTGTTTCTCTTCTTCTGTCTCTCCTCTTTCTCTTTCTCCCTTCCTCATCTGATTCTCCCACAGTCTTTGTCTCTGTTTCTCGCCAAGCCTCTAAAGAATGCTCAAGGCCTGGTCCCTGTAGAGGGGTGGGGGTGGGGGTGGGATAGAATGGTGGGCAGAGGCGACACTGGAAGCCCTCCTGGCTGGAAGGCCCCTTCCAGCTGGGGGGCGGGGGGGGGGGGTCAGCCTACCCGCAATGACAGCTCCTTCTCTGCCCCCTCCCACTCAGGCTGCAGGAGGCCAGAGCTCTACTGAGAAGGCGGCGGCCCCGTGGGCCAGGGGGCCGGGCACTGCTGAGTAAGAGGCCCCCACAGCGCACTCCTGCCGGCCAGGCCCGGGGTAAGAACATCCGCCTTTCCCCTGCCGCCGAGGGGGGGAGGGTTCCGGGCCTGATAAAGCCGTCTGGTTCCCACGGCCCAGCCGCTGCCTAGCTGCCCCCCATTGTAGCTCAGTACCCCACCCCAGGACACGGCCCCCTCTAGGGACCCTGACGTCCGGCCTTGAGAGGTAAGCCCAGGACAGGACCAGACGCTGGCCAGAGGCGCTGACCTGCGGGGGTGGGGCCGGGAAGCCAGGCGTCCGGGCTCCCCGCGGCCAAAGAGGGGGGCGCTGTCCCCGCAGAGAGCGCAGTTGAACTAGCCCAGACAACAAAAGCGATTGTGCGGGTTGGCGCCTGCCCGGTCACTGAATGCCCAAAATTGCCTGGCGGCTAGAGGCCAGAGGCCTCCCCTTGCTTCCCTTGCTCTCCTTTCGCTCCAGCTCTCGCCCCTGGGCTAGCACACCCCCTAGTTTTAACCACCCTCAAAAGTACCCCTCCTGCTGTGGCCTTCAGCCCAGATGTGTCCCCTCCTCCCTAAAGTCTTCCAGATGTGGGCCTCTGGCCAGATGTAAGGACCCCCGCCCACAGCCTCAGTTCACCGTTTCCCCTTATTCATTCTGACTTCTTTTACCAGGTGTGGGGGTTTCTGGCCAGATGCTAGTGAAGCCCCCCCCAGCGTCCTGCGCACCATTCAGACCCCCAGTTCCTCCATGTGCCCAGATGCAGACCCTCCTCTCCCCCAGATTGCACCTGGCTGCCCAGATGCGCCCGTGACAGTCCCTATCCATATGAAGCCCCTTTCTCTGTACCTAGGGCAGAGAAGCAGCCCTTAGCCGCCTCCCCAAATGCGGCCCCCACTTCTCCTTCCTCTTTATGGATTCGGGCCTGTCTGGGGGAAATGAGCCCGCCCCCACCTGTTCCCTTCCTCGCCGCTCCCTCGTGGGCCCCATTCACTTGTTGAAGCGAGGAGGGACAGAGGGGGCGCCCCCTCCCCCTGTGAGTCTAGC